ATTATGTGCCCAGCCTTGGAGGCTGGGGAGTGGAGGCAGCCCACAAGTCAGGACTGGGTCAGAAACCCATCACCTGAAGTAGATAATTGCATGGCCTTGGAGAAGTGTGGTTCCATAAAGCAGTGCTGGCAGACCAGAACCATGGGGCATCCCAGCTCATGGAAAGAGTTCATGCACTAGAATACTATACTAATTTAACAAGCGGTGATGAGCTGTGGGTATTAACCCACAAAGATGCCTGTGGCACATTTGTAAGTGAAAAAAAGTTTACAAAAAAGTAGGTATAATAGGATCCAGTTTTGATTTGAGTATAAAAAAAAAAATCCATGGGTGCCTGGGTGTCTCAGTCAGGTAAGCATCTGACTCTTGATTTCAGCTCAGGACATGATCTTGGGGTCCTGGAATCAAGCCCTGCATCGGGGTCCATGCTTAGCAGGGAGTCTGCTTGAGGACTCTCTCCCTCTTCTTCTGCCCTTCCTCCTATTCATGTGTGTGCTCCCCCTCCCCCCACTAAAATAAATTTTTTTCTTTTTTAAATCCACACAATGGTGATTATTCCTAGGTGATAAGGTGATGGGTGATATCTTTCTTGCATCTTTTTCTATTGTCTGGAAAAAGTTTTACAGAGGATACATTTCTATTACAATGAGGAAAACCTAAATAAGTCATCATTTCAATAGGGCAGAAGAAAACTTACCTGTTGTAGAAGTCTTGACAAGAATCAATGAGGCTAGGAGTATCTGGGTGGCTCAGTGGTTGAGCATCTGCCTTCAGCTCAGGTCATGGTCTTGGGATCAAGTCCCACTCAGTCTTCTCCCTCTGCCTGTGTCTCTGCCTCTCTCTGTGTGTGTCTCATGAATAAATAAATAAAATCTTTAAAAAAAAGAAAAAAAGAATCGATGAGGCCAGAAGTAAGAAAGATACAGAGGAGGGAGAGGGTTGAGAGATTTGGGGAAGCTGACATCCTCATGATTGGGTGAGGACTGAGGGAGAAGCCCAGGCTGGCTCTGGGGTTTCTGCCCTTGGTGACCTGCTGGCGTGGGGGTCCCCAACATGGTAGGGCCAGCTGTAGTTAAGGCCAAAAGACCACTTGTTAAAATGAGTATTTGCACTTTTTAGCGCAAGTGCTTGGGACTTAGTGGTGGAAAGACAGACCTCAGAGACTCAGGCGCTGAAAAGAAGAGTCGATTTCACTGAAAAAAAAAAAAGCGTTTGAATTACTGCTTGGTAGGAATAGCATGCATCTCATTTATTAAGTATTTAGTAAGCTCTGTGAGGACAGAAACCCATCTTGGTGTTGTCATTTCTCAGTACCTAGCATTTAACCTGGTTTTTTAGAAAGAATGCTCTAAAATGGTTGTGGTTGAGTGAATTATTCAAGCCAAACTCCTAGTAGTTCTTAAAAGAAGTTATCACTGTAAATCTGCTTAGGAAGCTCATCAAGCTGATTTGTAATCATTTGTAAATAGGTGCTTCCAAAATACTTAAAATATGGCTTTTCTTAAAAAACAAAACAAAAAAAACCCTGCTTGTCCTGATTTAAGACTGTCAATGTTTAGCAAATCCCCTTCCGCTTGTCTCATGTTAAAAAATCAGCTTGGTCCCATGTAAGTTAGCATAAGTCACTCAAGAAACTGAAGTAATCTCATAAACAGTTTTTTTCCCCCGGGTCTCTCATGTGTATTTTGGTCTACCTTGTAACATTATTTTCCTCTGAAGTATATTAACCACTGTAGTTCATGGAGCCCAGAAAATAAAATATTTGGACTATGAGGCTATATGTTAGGATGCTCTAAGGAGCTTGGGCCCTGGGACCAGCTGGTCTGGCTCTGAATCCTAGGGTTGCCATTTCCTGGTGTACAGACTGGAGTAGTTTAAGTGCCCCCCCCCCAACACCCCACCCCGAACTTTCTCATCTCTACAAACATGGTAAAAGGTTGTCATCAAGATAAAATCAAATGGTCACTATAAATATAGCACTTAGCACAGAACTCCACACATAGAGCTCAAATATTAGCCATTTTTTTTAAAAAATCACATTTGTTTATCTCCTGGGATGGATTGATTTCCAAAAGTGCAGGATTTCCTGTGTTCCATTTATGATGAAATTTTTAAAATTTACCTTGACATGTGGATGCCTTCTCTTTGAAACCTTCCCAACACAGGTAAATTTCCAGTTATCATCATCATCAGAGAAAAAGACAAAGCTTGGCCTGTTAGATCATCCCAGAAAGGTCATTTTGGGTGGCATCAGCCTCTCTTTCTGTGGCTTTTGACTTATCATAAGTGATTTTATGAGCACATATGTTGAGATTAGGGTCTTGAGGGACGATGTCACCAGGCAGATACCCAGCAGCTGGCCAGCTCCATGGAAGGAAGCCACACCAGGGCCAGTGGTGACTTCTGAATCACCTGTCAGACAGCTGGCAGCTGAGTGACCCCTCCTGACACCTTTGGCCAGTGTCCCGTGACAGGTTAGGCATTCCCTGGGCAGACACACCGGGAGGCCATGACCAGTGCTAGTGAAAGGTGGCAGTGCCAGGATTTCTCCCTCAGCCATCCATCGCTTGCAGCTTGTCCTTCCCCCAGCTAACACCTCCAAGGCAGAGAGAGGAGTTGAAATAAAGAGTTTGCATGAAAACTCAGGGGAAGAGCAGGTATTTGTAATTGTTCATACAGAATCAAAATTGATTTTGTGGGCAGCCCAGGTGGCTCAGCGGTTTAGCGCTACCTTCAGCCCAGGGTGTGATCCTAGAGGCCCCGGGATCGAGTCCCACGTCGGGCTCCCTGCGTGGAGTCTGCTTCTCCCTCTGCCTGTGTCTCTGCCCGCCCCCTCTCTCCTCTCTGTGTATTCTCATGAATGAATAAATAAAATCTTTTAAAAAAATTGATTTTGTGCCAAATTACAGTAATAAAGCAGTAAAAGCCCACCACTTCTCACAAGGTTTTTTTTTTGACTAGATCATATGCTTCCTCTCCCTCTCACTGTTCAATCCATGAGCTATAGGAATCTTTGACACAAAAATACATGCATATATGAGTTCTTTTCTTTTTCGGGGTTTTGTCAATTTTATTTTTGACTCTACCCTAGTATATTACGTTTTTCCCAGCTGTGGTGTTGTTTTAGGGGGGAGGATCAAAATTCACCTTCTTAAAGAAGCACTCACGTAGTGATTAAATAACTGAGTTTCAGAAACAATCCTGTACAGCATGGAGCTTTAGTCACCACATAACATTTTCCAAAGATTTAAAAAAAAAAAAAAAAAAAAAAAAACAACGCAGTCTCAAAGTTTAAAGTGTCAGGTTCTATTTCAGAATTTTCACAGTTAACCAAAAGTTCTGCAAAAAAACTGGTTTTAGCTGCCTTATTGACATTTCGAATGCCCCGGGGGCTGTCTTCCCCTCCCTCCTCCTCCTGCAAAGCCCCTCACCACCACCTCCTCAAAAAGAAAGGAGAAGCAGCCAGTGCCCCCTTGTTGGCAGTAGAATTTATTCACTAATTTACTTTCCAGCCAACTGCAGCCATTGCCTCTGGGCACTTGTTCAAAAATGCAGAAATGAAATAACAGATTGGCCAGACCGAACACAACTCCCCAGTCACAACCCTATTATCTCCTCATTCTGTCACCCCCATTAGGCAGAAGCCCGGGAGACTGGACGGTGATAACACAGTGTTTATGCAGCTCGTTCATGTCCACGCCTTGCGTCTTTCCACTGGTGTCCCCGGTCCCTCTGCGTGTGGGGCAGAGGGGAGTGAGACCCGGGGCTCGGCTCCCAGGCCTTTGCGCAGGCCTGGCCCTGCCCACCTTAGGGGGCTTCTGTGCAGGCCCCCTGCCCGGGAAAGAGCTCGTGCGTCCCGAGGAAACCAGAGTAAGACAAAGGAGCCAACTTGCCCCGTGTGCTTACCACCTACCCGTGAAGGAGTACGGACTAGGACGGGTGAAGCCGCATGTGTGGATTTTCTGAATACCCAGTATCTCTCCATTTAGGTTATTTATAGCTGCTCTATTCAGGTCAGAGTCAAGCAGAGCAGTTGCTTTATTTAATATTGTGGGGCCTCTGCAGGGTCATCTGAAAAACACGTTTCTCTGGACAGAATGAATGTGTAGCAGGGGAAGGTCTCCGTTTCAACTGTAGAGGATTGTTCTCGGATTGTTGCCTTCTTTGTGAAACTCCTCTTAAAATTATAGGCACAAGAGATAAATGTTTGAGGGGGCCGTGGGGTTGCTTCACACCCCCCCACCTTTACCAACTATTGAAATAGAGAAGTTTTAGAACTCACATGATGAACAATCCAGATGAAAATGCCTCACTCTTCTAGAATAGTCTACCCCATAGACTAGATACTGCTCCTTGCGGTGGTTGGCTTCTTGGGGTGGCACACATCCCAGGGAGTTTCACCTTTCATTCTGTCTTCATTTCCTCCATCTGTTCGATGCAGCTCCATAATTACATCTCTCATTAGCAATTCTTAGGAGAGGTGTAGTGTTGGGGTGTTGTTGACTGGTTTTGCCCCCAAACCCCTCATTACTTGGCTGGCATCAGATCGGATGGTGTGGGGCTGCCAACAACAGCCTCCCCCCCTGTGAGAACCCTTGATTCAGCCCCGCTCTGGCCATTTGTTGCTCAGACCTGGAGGGCAGCATCTCTGTCAGGAGTTAGTGGCCTTGTGCTGAGCAAACAAGAAGGAGGAAACCCAACAGCAGAATGCTTTTTGGATGGGTACATTTTACTGGGTTGGGGGGGTGGGAGGGAGGTAGGCAGGATTTCGTGCAGCATTTGGTTCAGGTTAATCCATCCTGGCGAGAATTCTCATGTGAAGGTTCTACTGAGAATGTGTGGGAGGAGGTGGTCCCCCACCTCCCCCTCCCCGGGTAGGGAAGAACAGGGTAAAACAAAAACATTTAATTATGTGCAAGATGGCTTACATCAAACTTGCAATCGTCGTTTCTTCTTGCTGATTAAATCCTAACTACCCTGTCCTTTCCTTTCCACATCAGCTCATACCCCAGACAACAGCTTTCTGGGATTTGTGGTCGAGCAGCACCTAAACTCCAGTGACATCCACCACATTAACGAAATCAAAAGACAGAACCAGTCCCTTGTGTACGGCAAAGTGGATAGCTTCTGGAAGGTGAGTCAGTCTGTGTGCATGTCGCTCTCTCTGGAAAGAAGCTTGTTGGGTAATTTAATTTAACTTCGATCCAGGGAGTAATCAAGCCAAGTGCCCAGGGCTTAATGGGATCTGCTTAGAAGTAAACAAGACTGTGCTGGGATTTGGTCGGGCAGCATTTGGGTATCTAATAAAGGCGGTACCCACTCATTCACACAGTGGCTGCACAGCAAAGCCCTTCCCTCTTCGCTGGGAGTGGCACGTTACAGCTTCTTTCACATCCTGTACTTGCTTCTGAAAGCTAAGGCCCCACGGGGGCTGGATATCTTTCCAGAGCAAGGCATTGCACAGAGAGGCCCTATGCCTTATGGGAGATGATGTGTAAAAGTAGGCAGCACGCTCTAGGCGCAGCTCCAGGGAGGGCAGTGACCTTTGTGTCCCCTTCACTGCAGTCAGCAGCATCACTGTGGTCAGGGCTGGACTACCTGTGAAAGGAAAACACCCGCCAGGGCTGACTGCAGGCACTTTGCTCTGGGAGGTCTTGGACTAAAAACATACGTGGCCGCAGCCTGTGGCAGGTTTCCCAAAAGCGTTGGACTTTGCAGCCTCCTGGACGATTTCCAGAGTCCGTCTGGGGCAGGTCAGTAGGAGAGGAGCCAGACTGGAGCGTGACCTGTTGACGTGACTTGCAAACCTTTTTCTATTGGAAAGTCTGCCTTTGTATGCCAGTGCAGTAATTCTGATTGAGGGCGTGTTCACATAGGACTCGGGTCTCCAGAACTTCAAAACATGCCTCTTGCTAAACGTGAAAGTCACCACTTTCCAGACTGATCACAGGTACTGTGGTTTCATGTTGTGCCTCCCTCGTTGAGGAAGTTAGGAATCTGACCGCCGGGTGAGCACACATGATGTCTAGAGTCAAGAACTCCCTGCTGTGGGTTTTCTGACCCCATGTTCAGAAAAGGAAAAGCCGTGCTGCCCCCTCTTCAGTTCTACAATGCTAAGGACGCCAAAAGGATAATTCCATCAGCCTCTTTCCAGGGAAGCTGATTTAATTCCAGGTAACTGTCTTTGCTATAAAAGCTAGAATTCTCTCTTCATTGAGTACAGTGATTCTCAGCTGAGGACCATTTCACCTCCAGGGGACACTTGGCAAGTCTGGAGATAATTTCGGTCGCCACAGCTGAGGGAGGGGCCGTTGGCTTCTACTGGGTAGAAGTCAGCGATGCTGCCCAAGGTGCACAGGACAGCCCCCCAGCAAGGATTACCTCGCACAGAGTATCAGCAGTGCCGAAGCTCAGAAAGCTGGGCTGGGAAATAAGTTTTTTTCCTGCAGATACTATTTTGCACTTTCTTCTCTCAAGTAGAATAAAATCAGTCCAGACTACAGTCTGGTTATTTAGGACGTTCCCATGAATTTATCCATCTTTACTTCCTTTGCGTCAAAACCTACCCCGTGTTGACAGCGTTTTTCAGCTGACTCTCAGCCAAGCAGGTTAAAAAGGACACGTTGGGTGTTCTCATTCTCGGCTCAGTTGTGAAGTAAATGAATCATGGCACCTGCTTTAGGAAGATATAGGCTCTTAAAAAAAAAAAAAAAAAAGTCCCTTTTCTCTTCCACACCTGCTCAAAGAAAATAGTTTGCATGTCCATGTGGACTTGACCTTGCAATTATATCACTTCTGTTTTGGAACCAAGTGCAGCTTCCTTTTAGGTGCCTCTGGCAGTTTTTCAGTTTCCCTAGAAAAACAAAATAATAAATTGGTTCTGAGAGTTTTTTGGTCACTTTTTTTTTTTTTTGGATAAAGTAATACCACTAAAAGAATGATTTTCTTGGTGCCAGTCAGAATCCCAGGAATGTTAGCCATGCTAGCCCAAGTGATTTGTGGCGTGCTTTGGAAGTCCCTCTGAAACTCCACGTATGACCCAACCTTCCTCTTACTGTGCATCGTCCAAGTATTTAAAAAAAAAAAAAAAAAAAGAGTGGCAGTGTGTCTACATTAGTCTTTGTCTGGATACCAAAATTCTGGAGTGTTTTTTTGGTTTTGTATATCATCATTGCTCAGTATTCTTTGGTGAGAAAGGCCCCAGAAAGTGAAATCTGTGAAGTTTTTACACAAATTCACATCTCAAACTTCTCAACACAATACAGGATGTGAGAATTGTTAACTTTTAACAAACCCTTCCTGTGCCTGCAGTATCCAGTGAACGCACAAGGAAGACAGGTGTGCCATAAGTGTGATGCTCCTGCACCCAAATCCCCAGAGTTGCCTTCATCACTGACTTCAGCCAGCAGGAAATTTTTCTTTTTCTTTTTTTAAAGATTTCATTTATTTATTTATGAGAGAAACACAGAGAGAGACAGAGACATAAACAGAAGGAGAATCAGGCTTCTTGCAGGGAGCCCAATGCAGGACCCAATCCCAGGACCCCCAGATCATGACCTGAGCCAAAGGTAGATGCTCAACCACTGAGCCACCCAGGTGTCCCAGCAGGAAATTCTGTATATTGTTTTTCCCATCCCTTGTCCCATTCTCTTCCCACCCAGTCTCCTTTGCCTCTAACCTCTTTGGGAAGGGGGAGTGACACTATCCATCCCAGGTGGTTGAGGAATTTAGTGGGGGCATGTGGGCAGGCACAGGATTAGAGCTGACCTCCTAGAGAAGGAGAAGCTCTTTCAGATTTTAGAACTCACTGATATTCTGAGGCTATATGCTGTGCCATCAGTCCTGTTCCATGTCCTCCCCTCTTCCAAGGGACTCCTCCCAGCTGCTAGGGTGCTTGAGTGGGGATGCCACCACATGTCCCCTTTACCCTTGGATGATTGGTTCAGGGGGCTGTCCTCTGACCCAGGGCAATCCAACTCATTGGTGGTTGGAAGCCATGATTCTGGCTCAGAAAGCCAAGCTGGATCAATGAGATTCTTCCCTTAGTGTTGAAAGATAGAAGGACAGTGAGCCATGGAGACGGAAATCTGAAGGATATGTCCAGAGTTGTGATGAGGCCAAGGCAGAAACTTCCCAGAAAAAAGTTTGCCAACTTCTAAAATATACCATGTCCCTGGTAAACCAAGTCTCTTGGAAGACCCATTTGGCCAACAGTCCCAGGCATGGATCTCGTGAGAGGTCTTTTTAGCTTGTGTCCGGGTTCTTGATTATGTTCTGTATGATTGAGGCTGATGGATAAGCAGTGCATGGGAAAATAAAGCATGACTTTACCAAAATCCCTGTTACTCCATGATGAAACCCCAGGCCCTGAGCCTGGCATATCTTAAAAGATATTCAATAAAATCTCCCACTTACTGAATCATTAACAGCTGGGTGATAAAAGAGGGCCTCGTATTAGTGTGATGTTAACATTTCTCTGAGCCTCTCACAGCCGTCATTTACAGAAGAGCTCGCCAATTCCTTCTGAGGTAGCGTGGCCACAACAACCCTCCTTCACCATCTTGGTTTATAGATGAGGAACTGATTCAGAGGAGTTGGAGGGATTTAGCTAAAGTCCTGCAGCATGTGACATGACGAGTCCAGAGCCAGGATCATGGTTCTGTCCTCTCCCCTCTGGGGCACTTGCCTCCCTGCTGCCACTGCTTGAGGAGCTGCCCTCTGCTCCTACCCTGGAGGGTGATGGTTGCATGGTGAGAGCAGCATTCAGAAGCCAGGCAGCCAGGTCTACGTGAGTGACTTCCATGTGAGCAGGAGTCCTGGGCAAATACTGGCATCACAGGTAAAACATTGCTTCTGGCTGTTCACCACACAAATGGGGAAGTCAGCAACTGCCTTGCAGCTAGCTCTGCAAAGAGTACGTTAACAGGCCTATTTGAGCAATTGAAATTATTGCTAGCTCCGGACCGCAGGGGCCTGGCTTGCCTGAGCCCGAACCTGCTTGGCAGCAAGCAGAATCATCTTGTCTCAACTGACTTTGGAAAGCTTCTTTTTATCCAGACATCAAAGACTGTGTGGTTCTAAAGCATCCCCTAAAAGGACACCTCATCCCATAACCACAGGCCTAAGAAATCGGGCAATAAGCCTTCCAGAAATGCGATGCAGCCTTTCCCTCCCCTCTGTCCCTAACTTCCTAGCCTTCTTCTTCTGTTCTCTGTGCCACATCAGTGGCAGCAGCCAGAGTGGCCTTTTTTAAAAATGGAAATTGGATTGTGTTACTCCTTTCCTTAAAACCCTTCAGTGGCTTCATTTTAAACTTTGAGCATCTGACATTTATGGTGAAATGCAGTCTCCATCAGCTGGTTTAGTGACTCTCTGCAGGCCAGCTGCATATGCTGTGCATGCACCTCTCTTGCTCAGCTCCCAGGGCTCTAGCTACACGGATTCCCACACACTGCTCCCTACACTGGCTGGCCCCAAACGCTAACCCCCCGAGGGCCACCCTGACCCACAAGTGCACCCCCAGCCAAATGTCACCTCTCCCCATCTCTAGCTCAGCATTTTCTTGCTTTTAGGAAACTTTCATCATTTGTGATCATGTATTTCTTTCTCGGTCAGCCTCTTCTTAACTGTTAGACTCTAAACTCTTTTGAGGGCAGAACTCATTTATTTTGTTTTGCCCAACATGATGCCTGGCACACAGTAGGCTCTCAGTAACTCCTGGCTGAGTGAATCCATCTCCTCTCAATTTCACTTACTTTATCTGGGACTTCTGAGATATGACTTGCAGCATGTTTTGCCTTGGGTGCTGCCCTGTGCTCACTGGTCCCAGGGACACAGGAAGAAGGGAGGTGAGGAAAATGATTGGCACTACCTCTGTGCCAACTCTGCAGCACACATAGAGGTGTCAGGAGGTTTTCAACCCCCCCCCCCCCCGGTGAAATCAGCAGTGAAACGGCCTGGGAAGAGAATGCCACACAGGAACTCTGGGGGCCGGTCTGGAGCCAGCTCTGCTGGCATCTCTGTGATTTGGGGGCCGGCACCTCTTTCTGCACTTTTATGCATAAAGGTATTAGGGAAAAGGAATGAATTACTGACCCACACAACATGGCACATCTCAAAATAATGCTGCGTGGA